CATCAACGTATCTCTTCGAAATAATCGTTGTCTCTCGAAAAATCGATCATTCCAAGAAAGAGTAGTCTTGCTTTTAATTAAAACTTAAACGCTTTGAGCTGCTTAAAAAGTTGCTCAAATTAATTTCAACAACTGCACATCAAATTTTCTTGAGTCGTTTTTATAGAGCATTCGAAAACTGGTATTCATGCACAATGCAGCAGTCATAATGAGTTTAGTCTGGATGCATTTGAGTGTGACATTCAATATCTGATACTTTGAGCCATAATGAACTCGTATTCAACAGTTAATGAACGATTGGTAGCCACAAAATGGAGCCACTCGATTTACTGCTGCCTCGATTCATGATCACTTCTACGACTACGAACAAACTGTCGGAAGTAATTGCGATTTTTAGCCGAGCCGCAATATTGACATTAACACAGAACTTCTAAAGTCGTAGTTTCTAATTGTAAGAATGTAAGATGATCGCAAACGGAAACATGAGATGCAAACCTTAATCAGCTGTCAGTCATTGGCCTGCTGCTTCAAACGACTCGCATCAGAATTCAATGATCAGTAGAGAACAATAACAAATGAATTCCCAAAAGAGCTAACAATAAGCTGAACAATTGTTTACTATTTTGACTAAAGATCAGTTGTGCATTCGAGCTCAACGCCTTTTGCTGTCAAATGTTAATCCTTAATTCAATAGAATTTCAGTGTATATTTCTTTAATATGATTCAGTCACTGCATGCTTTTAGAATGGTCTTCGATTCGATGTTTAGTCGATCGAGACGTGATGTGACGACATTAGAGTCTAGTCTGCTCTATGGATGCATGTGTATGAATCACAGTGTGTTTAAAGCATGGAACGATGCTAGACACTCGGGAAAGATTTGATTTACATTTACGACGAATTAACTGATTCATACTTCGAATTATATTTATGTTCTTCGATGATTCAACGTGCGAAAATGTTGAAGTTGAAGCACAATGAGAGAAAACTGAGCGATTCAGGGAAAAACTTGAATTTATGCAGATGGTAGAGAAATGGAAGTTTCCAAAATATGAAGCACATTGTTTCATTCAATAACGACTGACTGCAAACGAAAATGAAAATTGAGATTATTCGACCAAGAATTCGGGAAAAGGAAGATTTCCAAAAATCTTTAAGTGAGGTGAATGCAATGAAAGAAACCAGTTTGTGGCTTACCTGATAAGGTGATTGCTGGAGTAGTTGTTCATTAGCAGCTCGTGAATGCTGCGTAGCAGCGTTGAGGTGAGTTTGATTCTGAATCGAAGCTGCAGATGACGAAGAAACAGAGGGAAGGTCGATCAGATCCTGTGGTTGGTGTGCTTGCTGAGGGTGATAGTTCGCAGACGGATAGTTATCCAACAGCGCTGATGAGTCATATTGTGAAGAGGTGAACATTGGATGCGTAGGGACACGGAATTGAGAGTACAAATCTGGAATTAATGGCGCTACTACCGAAGAATATGCACGTCTTGGCGGTGGAATGGTACCATCCAAATCCGACGGGTCTAGTTGATGATTCAGATGCGATAGGTGTGGGTTCTGAGAATGCGTTTGGTCGGGATCATGATGAAAGAGTTGGTGATTGACATGATGTGACCGATGATGTGCAAGTGGATGGCCAACGGGGCGCACTAGTTGAACGAGAGGGGAAGAAGGGTGATGCGAATATCCTGGTTGAGCCAGTGTGATTTGAATCGGTTTAGAGTCTGAACGTTGAGTACCACCAGAACTACTACTTGAAATACTGGAAGATTGGGTAGCGACAGATTGGGTTCTGGTTGTTGCGGTTGGAGTTGAAGTTGCTGATAATTGGACAGTGGGAATGGGATGGCTCTTGGATGGCACTGATGAGGATGAAGACGGTGTTGTCCTTGTGGTATTCAATAAGCCGTATGTGGGATCATTAGATAGAAGTTGACGATTTTTATTCAGTTGAACAG